ATACAATTTCTTCGGGTTGCTATTTTCCTATGTGCGTAAGGTGCACTTACGAGCATTGGTAAGTGTCCAATAACAGACATCTTTCTCTGTCAGTGTCTTGACTGGCAGAGAGGAAAAATTTAAGGCTATAGTTTCATTCCCCAATTTCATTTTACAGAGGTTTAATGGAGTTATTTAATGGCTTTAAATATTCAACAATTTTTAATTATATCTCATTTTCTGTGTACAGGATTGGATGACTGAAGTCCAACTAGAGTGGCATCAGGAATCCACTCTGAGAACTGGAATTTCTATTTTCAAGGCATGGCGTTGGGTGTGGTGACACATGCATTCAATCCCAGCACTGCAGCGGCCAAGACAAGCAGATCTCTTTGAGTTCTAAGCCAGCCAGAGCTACATAATGAGAACTGGCCTCAGAACACATACACAAAAAGGGCAAAGTGAGAACTGGCCTCAAAATACATACACACACAGAAGGCAAGGCCTCATCTAACCCAGGCTGGCCTACAACGGAGTATGCAGCTGAATATGATCTTGAGCTCCTGCTCCTGATGTCTCTGTCTCCCACGTTCTGGGATCACCAGAATGTCCCAGTGCTGTGACAAACTAGAAAACTGGCCTAAAGCTGACAGAAGAGGAAATAAGTTCCTCAGGACCAGGCTATGCCCCAGAAGCAATCATATCACCTAACAGACTTGCCAAGCACAGAATCCAGCCTTCTTAGAGAATGGCTTGGTCACCACGCTTTCTACCCCAGAACTCTTAGTGAAAACAGCATAGCCAAGACCTAACTAGTTAAGTCTCTACTGGTTAAGGACAGGGGCTCACAGGAGCCACTGGGCCATGGTTCAGAGATACAGCCAGGGAATGAATGACATATTTTTGATAAAGGATATAATAAATTGGAACTGGAGGAAAAATCTGCTATGTGACATGTATCCTTTCATCTCATATGGATTTTACTGAGAAACTTGACATTTATTCTGTCTGCATTTAAAAAGATAGCAGTTATTCCTCCATATGTATCAGTTTGTCTTTTAACAGTTAACAGTGAAATACCACAGTGGGTCATACTTATGCCATACATAAAAATGTCCATAAGATTACATCAGAAAGTGCAGGGAGCTAGTGTGGTGGGGCACAACTGCAAAACCAGCACTGGAGAGGCAGGGAGTATTGAGAAAACGTCCAGGCCATCCTGGATTACGTAGTAAGAGCATGTCTCTGAAAACAAGTACAAACAAGCAAAATGCAAGAAAAGTTTATTCTACTACTCATAGGAACTCTTGTAGAAAATTTTATTTTTGCTTTAACCACATGCAGTAGCTATCAGAATTTATCTAGGACAAACTATAGCTCTAAGTAATTAAAATCTTTTGAGCCAGGTATGGTGGAGCACACCTTTAACCCCAGCAGAAGCAGGTGGATCCCTGTGAGTTGGAGGCCAGCATTGTCTACAGAGTGAGTTCCAGGACAGCCAAGGCTATAC